TCTCTCTCTCTCTGAGTTAGAACCTGATGAGTAGTCCACATTAGGAGTATATCGGAAGTTGGCACTACGCATGTCTTCTGACTCCCATTCGTTCCCAATCTCTGCAACATATATAAGAAACCCTTGTATCTATGTTTAGCGGCTATCAGAAACGATGTCTCCCCCATGAAAGGTTCAGAAAACCTGGCATACAGTGACCTCAGCTCACCAGATGCCAACACGAGATCCAAGCCATCCACTCTCAAATCAGATGGATCGTCACCCTCCATTGCATCAATCTCCTCGAGATCAAACCGCTGAGATGGATACTTTCTCTCCCAAACCCCTCTGCATCGATTCCAAGCATAATCTTCATTTTCTTCATCAAAAATTGCAGGTTTCTCGATCAGTTTCCCAAACTTTGAAACGCAATATCGCCGAAAAGCCACCTGAAAAATGAAATTAAGGTCTAGAACTTCCGTAATTGGAAAATACTTGACTAGCCGGAAATTCGCCGAAAAACTCGCTGGAATTTGCAGAAGGGGTAAGAGACTTACCGGATTCAGGCAATGGGCAGTCCATATCCATTGGATGTCTAATGGCGGCAAAAGCAAGGTGCGGCTACCTGAATTCTCTGCAATTAATGGCATCCATAGGTCCCGATACCTGAAATTCAGTGAGTAGTTTCCAGCATCTTATGAGAAATTAGAGGAAACATCAAAAAGCAGAACTTCTTGGCAGTAAATTTGTCACCATTTAACGAAAAGAAGTAGGATGAGCTCCTATGTCTAGTGTTTTAGGTTTTGGAGTTTCTCTCCAGAAGAATGGGGATTTGATGATGAAAGACCTTCGAATAGCTCGATGGAGAGAGGGAGTGTGAAGAAGCCATGGAGAATTGACGAGAGTCTTGAGGAAGCAAAGGTGCCTTCTCGCTGCTGAAACGAGATCAATGCTCACCCTTATTCCATGAACAGAGGCGTCACTCCCTCTGTTGCTCGTTGCTGCAGAGTACTCAAACAATAAGAAGCCATCGCTGCTCGCCCGAGACATGCTGCTCTCTGTATCTACAAAGATGCGACCGCGTGTGCTTGGGTCTAGTGAGAGAGAGAAGGAGGTGAAGGAGAAGTATTAAAAACAGGAAAAATCCAGAGAGAGAAAGGCATCAACGGACATGACATTCGACATATAATGAGTTTTTCCGACACACGTCAGAAATAAACACGTATCTCCCCAGTGCTGTTGAGATCGTCCTAATTCCTTTTTCCTTCTATGTTTTTAATTCGTGGTGTGGTTTGAATGGCGCCTCTATTCAATCCAAGTAAATCGCATTTTCAACTAGTACCGAAAAAATATAGCGCGGATGGAGTTTTTTTTTCTTATTGTACACAGTAAAATTTTGACATGTATATATTTTTATTTTATTATATATATATATATATATATATTATTGTTTTGTACATAGAGGTTTTTTACTAAATAAAAGCATTTTTTATCGTGGTGATATCGGAAAGTATTAAATACTACTTGTGAGTGATGTCTTATTTCATGTGAATGACGACGACCCCTTCTTAATGACAAAAAATATGAGGCTCTAAACAATAAAAATAAAACGCGCTTTTAAATAGTATCGAGAAATATGGTTTCAATATTGAAAATCTTTGTGATAGCCTTAAAATATATTTTCATCTTTAATTATAAAATTTAAAGCTTTAAAATAGTGTAGATCGAACAGAATTATGAAAACTTCAAAATATTGAAAATTGACGGTCCAAAAATAAGCTATAACATGTATTATTTTCAAAACTTGAAATCTATTTATTTCTCATAGATCTATGCATCTTGATGTCGAGACGATCAATTTGAGGATATTTGGACATCAAAACAACCTCTTCTAGTGAAAATTTTGAGGTAGGCTCTAATTTAATTGTTTAGAGCCTCAGCTCTATATAAACTTTTTTTTTAAAAAAAATGCCTTATGTACAAATATTATAGTATCTAAAAAAAATTTTGTATAATGATAAATTACTCCATAGTGTGGATACCCTAACATAACCTTAAAATGAATTTTCACCTCTAATTATAAAATTTAAAGTTTAAAAAATAGTGTAGATTAAGGTTATCAATGAAAACTTGAAAATCTTTAAAATTGACGGTCCTAAAATGCATTACAAGATGTACTATTTTCAAATTTTGAAATCCATTATTTTCTCATATATCCCGAGATCGAGATGATCAATTTGAGGATATTTGAGCATCAAAACAACCTCTTCTAATCAAATTTTTGAGGTGGGTTCTAATTTAATTGTTTAGAGCCTCGCACTTATATAAACTTTTTTTTTTTTTTTATCTTTTGTACATAATGGAGTCATAGCTACATGCTATAGAGACTTGAAATCCACCGTTACTTTCATCAACGAACGGTGGAGATGAGCTCAAGCATGGGTTTTCAATTTGTTAACATCACGTTCAATTTAATGAATGTAGTTTCTACAAGGCCTAGGTCAAACAAAGTAAAACCTTACCTCAAATCTCCCACCAGAGAGTACTTTGGGCATGAAAAATCTTCATAATAGCTTTAAAATCAATTTGCTACACCAACTATAGAATTTGAAGCTCAAAAATTTATATAGATCTTGGATATTTGTGAATACTTATTTCTAATATGAAATAGATTATCTAAATAATCTTTTACAATATATAAGACTTAAATTTTCTAAAAAAATTATTATTATGACCATTATGATCAAGCCTGAGATAGTCGACTGGATGGTTTTTAACACCAAAACGTCAATTTTTTGTGAGTTTATTTTTTGGAGTTTATTTTCATGAAAGTTCAACCATGGTTGGAATTGTAATGTTTGATTCCCACCAAGCGTAGGGGCCGTTTTCCAACTGCCTCAACCAAATATATATATATATATATATATATATATTAAATTAATAAATCATTATTTTGAAGCTGCACCCTTGCGCCTCAAATACAATATCACATGTCCCAATCGAAGTTCTTTGCAGTGGATGACGGTTGTCTTGCCACCTGACATGCTTCGCTATGGGTGATGGTCGTTGGAATGGCTCAAAACTGTGCAGTTGCGTCTCAGACGTGGCCCAACTATGGCAGCCAGCATTGTCAAATAGAGAGAGAGAGAGAGCTGCTTATCTCGAGAAAGAAGGAAGGAATTGATCGCAAGAGAGAGGTGGGGGATGGACTTTTAGTATCAGAAACTTTATGATAGTCTGAAATCTATGTTCAATCCTAAATATAAAATTTTCACATTTAAAAAATGTGCAGATCAATATCCATAAACATTTAAAAATCATGAAAATAAGTGTCCATATAACTTAGTTAATATGACTCTACTTTTAGGACTTAGGGACTTNTTACTATATATATATATATATATATATATATATATATATAATATATA